CCCCCTCCCCCATTTCTGAAGAAGGGTCTAGGCCCGAAATGTCAGCCTTCCTGCTCCTCTGATGCTGCTTGGCCTGCTGTGTTCAACCAGCTGAACACCTTGTTATCTCAGATTCTCCAGCATCTGCAGTTCCTACTATCTCTGGACACTGGATAACCAGTTTGGACACTGGGGAACTGGACTGGACGCTAGATAACCAGACTGAACACTGGGGAACTCGAATGTATACTGGATAACCAGGAGACAGCAGGGAACTGGACTGGACATTGGCTACCAGATTGGACAATGGGGAACTAGACTAGATTCTGGGAACCAGACTAGGCATTTGGTATCCAGACTGTGCAGTAGGTATCAAGACAGACACTGGGAAACCAGGCTGGGCACTGGGAACCAGGCTGAGCAATGAGTAACCAGATTGGACACAGGGGAACCGGGCTGAGCATTGGCTAATCAGGTTGGACACAGGGGAATTAGACTAGGTTTCAGACTGGCAACGGGGAACTAAACTAGACACTATGAGCCAAGTTGAACGTTGGCTGACCAGACTAGACACTGGGAAACTAGACTAGACTTTGGGGAGCTAGAATGGATTGGATAGCCAGAGGACAGTGGGGAACTAAACTGTACAATTACTACCAGATTGGACACTGGGGAACTAGACAGGATGCTGGGAACCGGATTCGGCACTGGGTATCTTGATTGTTTACTGTGAACTGTGAGTGGACACTGGGGAACCAGACTAGACTTTGGGGAAGCAGACTAGACACTGGGGAACTAGAATGGATACTGAATAACCAAACTGGGCTCTGGGGAACCATACTGAACTCTGGGGAACCAGACTGGACACTCAGGAACCAGACTGGGCATTGAGTATCCAGACGATGCACTGGGGAACCAGGCTGAGCACTGGGAACTGGTCTGAGCATGGGGTAACCAGACTGGACACTGGACAACTAGACTGGATTGGGCTATGAGTACTACAGTGGAGACTGAGGAATTAGACTGGAAACTGGGAACCAAACTGGCCAGTGGATAATCAGACTAGGCACTGGATAACCAGACTGAATATTGGAAAACCAGACTAAGCCTGGCTAAGCAGATTGGACACTGGGGAACCAGATTGGTCACTGGATAACAAGACTGGGCATTGGATAATCAGACTGGATGCTGGTTAACCAGATTGGACACTGGGGAACTTGACTGGGCACTGGGATCTAGACTAAGCACTGGGTAGCCAGACTAGGCATTGGGTAACCAGACCATGTTGCCTCCTTTCTGCCACTAGAGTGGGAACTGGGCAACCAAACTGCATTCAATCCCCCCATTCTCTCTACCATAAACTGAGAACTGGATAACAAAACTGTGTCCACCCAACCCCATGCCCTCGCACTCACTAAAAATGCAGACTCTGCCTCCTGACTAGGCAATGGGTAATTGGACCATGTCCCCACTTTGTGTAACTGGATTGAGCACTGCGTAAGCAGACTGGACTTTGGTTAACCAAACTGGCCACTGGGTAACCATACTATGTGTCCCCTTTCTGTGCAACCAAACTACTCACCTGGTAATCTGACTGAGCATTAGATAACCACGCTGGGCACTGGGTAACCAGACTGTGTGCTCCCCTTTCTGTGCACTCAGATTTGGCCCTGAATAACCAGATTGCTCATTGGGTAATCTGATCATTTTCCCAGAGTGGGAACTCGGCAACAAGACCATAACCAGTATCACTATTTTCTGCCATCAGCTTGGACACTGGATAACTAAATTGTGCTCCATTGTTACGACACATTCTGTGCCAAATATTCATAATTGGTTAACCAGATCATGTCCTCCATTCTATGCAACAAGACTAGATACTGAAAAACCAGAGTGGACTTTGGGTAACCAGTCTGAGTCTACCCACCCCTCCTGGCCATCTGCCACCAGATTGAGCATTGAGCAACCAGACCATGTGTCCCACTCTCTCTGCCATTGACTTGGCCCTGAGCAAACATATCATTTCTCTGTTTTAAGCCAGGGTGAGTACTAGGCATCCAGACCATGAATCTGCTCCTCTCTGACACCAGATTAAGCACTGAGCAACTAGACCATGTGTGGCCACTCTCTGCCACTGACTTTGCACTGAGCAAACATACCATTTCCTTGCTGTCTCTTTAACCAGATTGAACACTAGGCATCCAGACCATGAACCTCCTTCTTTTCTGCCACCAAACTTAGCACTGAGCAAATAGATCATGTGTTGACTACTCTGTGTCACTGACTGGGCAGACAGCAACCATACTAATTCCTTGCTCTTTGTTCAACCAGGCTGGGTACTGACTATCTCTACCATGTCCCCACCACTCTCTGCACAAATCTGGACACTGGGCAACTACACCATCTCTTTGGACCCTAAACTAGACTGAATAGCCTTCATCTGATGTCCGGAAGTGTGATCTTGGTAACCTGTCACAGGATCTCCCCTGTGTTACTGTAGCCCATCTCGGTCTGCAATTCTCTAAACTGCACCAGGGATTACTTAAGATTTTAACTTCAAACTGGAACTATGGTCTTCTGCTTTTGCATTCATCAACCCATGACTTCCCTATAATTAAAACCGGAGGAGGAAAATTGTAGGCTGGAGTTACATTGGTGGGAATATTTATCTACATTTGCTATTGCGCTTAAGACAAAAAAATCCAGTATCAGAATCAGCCTGGACAAAGGCAGGGATTGTGGATGAGTTGATTAGATGGTCAGTGGGATCAGAATTGAGATTTCCCAGGGTGGATATAGGAATTGTAAACTACTTAGATCCATGAATGGAATTCTCGGCAAAATGAGTTTACAATCTGTTATCCTGTCAAGGGAGACTTGTGAGCAGTGCTGGTCCTTCTTTGTAGTCACAGAGAGACATTCACAGTCATTCTGGCTTCTTGTGACTTGCTATAAAGTAATATTGGCAAAGGCATTTTAATGCATTAACGTAGAGATGGTGCCCAGTCCCTATTTGATATCTGTAAAAATCCATTAGACTTTTCTTTTTGCACATTTAATAATGCTTCTCATTTTGTTTTTAGAATGTGGGAAAGTACCACTATCCACCAGAGTGCGAAAAATGGTTATTTGAAAGAAATTATTACAGAAAAGCATTGTGTTCATTCCTGTACTCCATTGTCACATATTCAACTTGCTTGCTGCTGGAAATATTGTGCTTTCCCTTGTGATAAACAAGTGTGTGTTTGGGATATCCACAATCCTATCCTGCAGGTAATTTTTATTTCAGAGAGATGTGGCCTAAGAGTACGGTGGGTCAAGTGTTGCTTTGCTAAGTAGAAGCTGGAATGAAATTAAGTTCATATTAAATCGCAATTGACAATAGTGTTAATATAATTGCTGGATTGGGATCAAAAAGTTTAAATAAAAATGGTCAGTTTTATACTATGTTATGAGTGGGTGAGCAGGGATGAACTGACTCTTGTTCAGCTTCCTTCGTTCGTCCCAGTGAAGGTTTAAGTTCTTTTTTTGCATGAAGCTATACCTAACTCCAATTAGAGATAGCAAGAACTGCAGATGCTAGAGTCAATAAAGTGTGGAGTTGGAGGAACACAGCAGGTGAGGCAGCATCAGAGGACCAGGAAAGTCAACTTTTCGAGTTTACACCCTTCATTAGTAATTAACTGTGTTTTTCTCTGAACAATAAAGTGTCAATTAACAGTGTTTTCTTGATTCAAAGAGAGAGGCCAGTTAAACCTGAGGAAAACAATGAAAATGTGAAGTCAAGTATATGGCCTTCATACTGTCACTTAGGCCCACACACAGGTGCAAAGTTAAAGGGGGTCTAATGATTGTAGCAAGGTCAGCCAGCTGGACCTCATAGAATATGAGTTCCCTGTTTGGGACTGTTAGTCAGGTTCATTCAGGGAACTCTGGCTGACAAATAAAAAAGAGGAGTGTCAGAGATACTGACACTCTGATAGCTGACTCTGAGGCAGTACTAAAGTCACGGACTGTTCATGTGTAAATAAAGGGTGACGTGGTGATGGGATATCAGCCTCTGTGGAGTTATTTCAGGAGGCAATGTCCAATGCAAAAGAATTGGCCTGCTGTGTTCATCCAGCTCTACACCTTGTTATCTCAGATTTTCCAGCATCTGCAGTTCCTACTATAAGAACATAAGAACTAGGAGCAGGAGTAGGCAGTTTAGATTTCTTCGGTTGTCTTTGTGGCGTAGAGTTTCAACCTGATGTTGACTAACTGGTTTCTTGAATGAAGTCAGTCATAGTGAATGTTATAGTTATTTGTAATCCTTTATAAGTCTCCACTGTAGCTTTTATTGTGAAAACCAGGTGCCAAGTTCTTCAGAGGGAGAAGGATAGAGAGTGTAAAGGCAGCAGCTTCTCTTCAACAACTGTAGCACAGGTGCAACAATCCACCATTGCAGAGCCAATGACATAAATTAAAGACAGATTTTTAAAATCCAAAAATATACATTATTCATAAAATTTGTAAAGATACATTCCAAAATATTTAAACTTGAATATTATAGAAAATGCAATAAAATTAAACTTCTCTCCATAATGCAGTTCTATGTTGAAATGTCTCAATATCATTGCAATATTCTTGATATTTCACAATATACATTCATGACAGCATTCGGATTCAGGGATTCTGCACAGTTTACAGTTCCTTGGTATATTATGGCTGAAAGGCCTGGACTGTGGCCTTTCTCATGTGACTCTGTGGCTGTTGACCCAAGCTTTAGTACGTCCTTTGGGATAGAATCTTGAATTGTGAATTGTGCTAGTGAGCAGTACTTGATTATGGACTCTTGAAAATCAGCAAATTTTGGACTTCTTCATGAAGTTGATGGTCCTCCAACTGTGGTTAATGTTCAGCTCAGTATGCGTTCATGGGATCATCCAGTATAACAGACAATACAATGTTGTTGGAACTCTAGTTCCACCGGTAGAATTTACCGATTTTCATTATTTGGAATTTTCCTGCACTATCTATTTTATGTTAATGCAAACATTCATTGCAATGTTTATGCCCCTCTTTAAATCAAAGGAAGCTATTTTTGAAAAGAAGAATGACTATAAGCTCAAATTAGTGCCAAATAGTGGACAACTTTTATATTTTGGACTAGAATCCACTGCAGACTGGACTAGGAGTTTTGAATCTTATTTCACAGCAGATCTTTCACGTTGTTTAAATGCTTACTCTGAACTTCAGCCTTCTGAACTGACCAGCCATATAAATTCTATGGCTACAAGAGCAGGTCAGAGGCTGGGAATTTTGTAGCAAGTAACTCATCTCATGATTTCTTGAAACTGGATCACCTGTCAGGAATGTGATGGAGTCCACGCTACATGCTTGGATGAGTGCAGCTGCAACAAGATCGATGCCATCCAGGACAAGTAGTCCACTTGGTTGGCATCCTGGCCACCAACCTCAACATTCAGTCCTTCCAACAATGATGCACAGTGGTAGCAGTGTGTAACATATGCCAGATTTATAGCAGCAACGCCCCAAAAGTCCTTCGACAGCACCTTTTAAACCTGCAGTCTTTACTATCTAAAAGGGCAAGGGCAACCAATGCTTGGGCACATCATCATCGCTTCCATTCATGTGCCATCCTGAACTGGAAATGTATCACCATGTATCTGTCACAGGGTCAAAATCTTATAACTCCCTCAATAACATCACTGTGAGTGTACCTACCGTCCACAGACTGCAGTGGTTGTAAAAGGTGGCTCACCATCACCTTCTCAAAGGCAATTAGGGTTGGGCAATAAAAGGACAAACTAATGCATCTACACCCTGTGAATGAACAAAACATAAGTTGGCAATAAAATTATGTGAAATGTCTCGGCACAATGCAAAGTTCCCAAATAGTCAGTAAAAACAGAATTAATTTACTTGGTTGCTGAGGGATAGATTTTCAGCTTGCTGCCTGGGTTTAAAATACATTGCAGGTCTATCATCCATCATTGAAATTAATTTTAATGACTGTAAAAATTGAGCTGATTATATAGTGGGTGATTGATCAACACTTCCACTGTATATGCCTACGTGGCAAATTGAAAATCCAATCTATATTGTTGAGTGACAGTGATAATGTAAGTAACACTATAAGTGGTTTCTGATTCAACATAGATATTAATAAGCAGAACAATTTGTCAAATCTGATCCCAACTATACAAAAAACAAAATAATCTCCTATCACTTCTTGAATAACTGCACATGTCTTCCAGCCCATATATTAATCACAGTTTGTAATGACTGAGTGCTTCCTGGTATTGGCCAAAACTCGCCTTTTGCTTGACTTGACCGTCCCAATCTATGTCCTATTGTCATTGTTTAATTTCAAGTAGTGGCTCGGAATTGCTTTTCTAGCATTTAGTTCTTAATACCATCATGCTAGGTCCAAAATTTCCTGTGGTGCAGGTTGTCCTCTGCCAGAAATGAAAATGCACTACCACCAAAGGGTACCATCCAATTGGCTACTGTCTTTTGCCATTGTTCCTTGGCTTTAGACATTGTTTACTTTGGTGCTTCTCTTCCATTATTATGCAGAACAGGGCTATGATCTTTGGAGAGACCATTTCAGCTGCTTGTTCCTCTGAATGCACGGGGTCCCAAACATTTTTCAGGTCTCTGTAAGGAAAATTCAAAAACATTCACAACAAATTTCAGAAATCTCAGTTATACTGATATCAATAAATATAAATTTATGTTGGCGCTTTAATGATGTAAATACAGATGACTTGCTCGAGCTGGTCTTTAGTAGGAGGTGGAGCATTTAAATGGTTGGCTGTGGGTTTTTCACATATTTTGAAGCATCACAAATGATATAAGAAATTTAGCATGCGTCAATGTCTCAGTACAAAATCAGTAACGTGAATTTCTGTGCTGCCTTTTTACTCTGTAGTTACACTGAAAACTTCAGGAATCGATGCTCTTCATTTATTTTTGCTATCCTGATGATACATTCAAATAACTCCATGATAGATGCTTTCTTTTTTAAGGCTGAATAGCTTGAGTTTTATTAATGAGCATGCTACTGGAGTGAGCGATTGAAAAACGTAAAAAAGTTCTACAGTCTTATTTGCATTTAAAAGTTACGTATTCATTCATTTTTCAAAATAAATGTGAATCTGAATCACCAGGAGTGTAATATATGTTCACTTATCTTCAAATAAAATATTAAGTTGTAGATTGTTTTAGCACCATGGAACAAAGATCAATCTTGTTTGTTTAGAACCAAGTTTGTTTGACTGCCTCAGTTGGACAGGAAGTAAGTTAAAATAGCAAAAAAACCTCACATTTACATAGTGCAATTAATAATCCAGAATCTTTCCATCATAGTTAATTGATGGTATTCTATTCAGTATGTTCTGCACTTGGAATATTCTGACTGCACTGGTTTAAGTCAGTATTCTTATTTAAGTCTCAAGTAATGTATAGTTCCATGCATCTATTTTCTGTAGACCTTGGAGTTAAAAGGCCACCATCAATCAATTACTGCACTGGCATTTGGAAACCACAATGAACCAACACTTCTATGTTCTGCAGCTGAAGATTATGCCATTATATGGGATGTGGAAGCGTGTCGAATGAGTTTACAACAAGGTTAAGCATTTTTCTAATATTTTGCAATGATTAGAAATAGCTCTGGTTCCTTGACTTATCCTATATCTGTTTTATATAAAATAGGTTATTGGCTAGGATTATAACACCAAGGATGAATAATTATTCTTTATGTGCACAGTGAGAAAGATGGAGTTATTTAAGCATGAAATCTAGATACAGAGAAAAGCTATTTATGCTTGGAATGCCTGGTGCAATGACATGAGATCATGCTATTGCCAGGTTAAGTTGTACACTTGTTAAGACAATGAGAAATCATAGAAAAATCAGTGTCTAGATAGAATCAGGACTGCTTGACCATGATGGTGAAAAGTGGATAACAGTGAATCAACAGCATCTCTCCCAAATTTTGTTTCCATTTTATGCAATAATTTGCAACCGTCTACTTCACACTATCACACAAAGACAAAATGATCCCAAATGTCAAGCAATGTTGTGAATAATGCAAGGAAATTTCCTTTAGTTGGTATTTCTAATGAAGTCAGAATCATGAATGTTGTTCACACTTACAACAGATGAAATCACATGATTTGATGATGCTACAACATGCAGCAACCAAATTTAATGATGCGGAAATTATCTCCCAACTTTTGTTTATTCCACATTATCAACATCCCAATGTCACATGCTTTGATCCTTAGAATGGTTTACTGTGCTTCTTCTTTAAGTGTAAAGTATGTCCTCTCATTACGAAAGGAAATCCTCATCTTCTAATGGGACGCAGGGATAGTGCAGGAAACTGGTGCTGAAGTAGAAGATCAACCATGATTTCACTGAATGTGGGAGCAGGCTCGAAGGGTTATCTGGCATAGTCCTGCTCCAATTTCTTATGTTCTATGTTAATCATGAGGAGCAATGCAATACCCTTCCCACTGCCTGAAGAGATTGCCTTCAGCATTTATTTCCTGTTTTCTCCCCTTTGTCAATTTTTTGATCCAATGTGCTAACCTACATCTAATCTTTTCTTTTGGTGTCATCTTCTCTTTGGGACCAATTTTCAAATATCTTCTGCAATTCTGTTCAGAATGTAGAAAGAATTACTTGTCTCCAAAACCTTGGCTTAATGTCTGTATATATTTGTGTTTGTGTGGTTGTAATTTTTGACTTGATACTTGCAGGCTTGGTCCCAAGAGGAAATGTTGTAGGAACTCTGCTAGGAAAAGTTTTATATTTATGTTTCAGTCCAGATGACCAAGCACTGGCAACCTGCGCAGACAACAAAATCTATGTGTTGAGCTGCAAGGTGAGTTTAAAAACAATATCATAATTGCTTACCTTATTTTAGAGCTTAGTGATACTGAATTATTGGAGTCAGTTTTAACTTCCAGGATGGTTCAAGTTGGACAACAGGTGAGTGCAGAGTGCATAGGCCCTGTGTATTTTAATTGCCAAGCTTATCTGCAGTAGCTTATCTGCTGCTCATCAAAAATAGGTAGAAGGTGGCAGCTGGCTGCTTGGTTTAACCAGTCACAGAACAACTGGCTGCCACCAAACGTTTGTGGGGATGGAGATATGGGGACCCTAAAGGGTCACTGAACTAGAAACATTAGCTCTGTTTTTCTCTCTTCAGGTGCTGCCAGACCTGCTGAGTTTCTCCAGCACTTTCTGCTTTTCTTTCAGATTTCCAGCATCTGTAGTTCTTTGTTTTTTAGCAAAGTAAGGGGATTTGAGAATGTCTTGCAGAAGGGAAAGGGTGAATAGTCTGCAAAATGAGGAGGCAGTGAACCTTATGTCAGAATTCCAGACTTAAGAGCGGAAGAGCTGGTCTCTGTATCCAGGGTTCAAAGAGGGAAAGTGGTAGGAAGTGCATTTCATTTGGTGAAATAATATTCTATTTCATTCAGGCAGAAAACCTAGACCATTTTGTAACCAAACCTCTCCCTACATTTCTGCACTTGAATAGGGCGTTGTTTCTGGAGTAGATGAAGAAGAGAACAGGAAGTATTTGTCAAATGGTGACTGCTAGTTCTGGAGAGAAAGACTTCTTTGAAACTGCCTAATATACAATATGACTCAATCCTAATATTAATAAACCTCTTCATTTACACCAGTGCGGCATTTGAATTCACACAATAAGTCAGTTTTCTGAGTTCATAGAATCCCTACAGTGTGGGAGCAGGCCATTCGGCCCATCAAGTCCACACTGACAGTCCGAAGAGCATCCCACCCAGAACCACCCTAGACACTATGGGCAATTTAGCATAGCCAATCCACCTAACCTGCACATCTTTGGACTGTGGGAAGAAACCGGAGGAAACCCAGAGGAAATAGGGAGAATGTGCAAACTCCACATGGACGGTCACCTGAGGCCAGGATTGAACCCAGGTCCCTGGTGCTGTGAGGCAGCAGTGCTAACCACTGAGCCACCATTCTGCCCCAGAGTTGCCTGACTGTTATTTCAAACTCAGTGGTGTACTGCATATAATTTGAATATAATTCCATACAGTAAGCTAGCAGACAGGGTTTAAGAACACTACATTGTTAACCCTTGATTATTGTGCTGTTATAATCATATTATGGGGGGTTAACCAAGGAGACCACTCATTCCATCATGTCTGTGTCAGTTCTCTGCAAGAGAAACTCAGCTAGTACCACTCCCCTATATTTCTTCAATGCATTTATTTAAATCTTCAGATAATTATCTTATTCTGTTTTAAAAGGCATGATTGACTCTGCATCCACTGCACTTTAAGGCGGTGCATTCCAGATCCAAACTATCCACTGCGTCAAAATGATTTTCCTCAAGTTGCTTTTGGTTCTTTTACCATTCACATTAAATCAGTGTCCTTTAGGTCACAACCTTTCCATTAATGAAAACAGTTTCTCCCACCTACTCTGTCCACACTCCTCATGATTTTAACCACTTCTTTGAAATCCCCTCTCAAGTTTCTGAGGAGAACTTCTCCATCTTTTTCAATCAACCTACATAACTGAAGTCTCTCATCCCTGGAACTATTTATAAAATCCTTTCTTACACCCGTTTCCACACTGTAGGGATTCTATTCTATTCTACTCTACCACTGGGTCATAGGCTTCTAGTGTGAAAATATCCCTGTACAATTACCCTCTGTCTCCAATTTTGTATCCAATTGGCAAGTTCACCTGGAATCCCATATGATCTAACTTTACTAATTAGACTCCCATTTGGAACCTTGTCAAAGGCTTTACTAAAGTCCATATAGACAAAGTCTACCATTCTGACCTCAATCTTTTTTTGTTACTTCATTAGAAAAATTCAAATCAAGTTTGAGACAAGATTTCCTTAACACAAAACCATTCTGACTATCCCTAATCGAACCTTGTCTCTCCAAATGCATGTAAATCACCTCCAACAACTTACCCACCACAACTTACCCACCATCAATGTCAGACTCACCGGTCTACAGTTTCCAGACTTCTCCCTAAGGCCTTTCTTAAATCATCAGCCACCCACAAATCCCCCTGTTCTTCACCCATGTTTGTACATGATACAAATATTTCAGTTAGGGATCTCTGCAATTTCGACATAGTGGCTCAGTGGTTAGCACTGCTGCCTCACAGCGCTAGGGACCCGGGTTCGATTCCACCCTCGGGCGACTGTGTGGAGTTTGCACATTCTCTCCGTGTCTGCGTGGTTTTCCTCTGGGTGCTCCGGTTTCCTCCCACAGCCCAAAGATGTGCAGACTAGATGGATTGGCCATGCTAAATTGCCCATATTGTTCAGGGATGTGTTGATTAGGTGGGTTATAGGGGGCTGGGTCTGGGTGGGATGCTGTGAGGCTCAGTGTGGACTTGTTGGGTTGAAGGGCGTGTTTCCACACCGTAGGGATTCTAATTCTTGGCAAAGCTTTGTATCCTTCCTAAAGTGTGATGCCCTGAATTGGACATGGTGCTCTAGTTGAGACTATATTAAGGTTCACCATAGCTTCTTTGATTTTGTACTCTGTACTGCTATTTATAAAAGTCAGGATCCATATGTCTTATTAACTGCTTTCTTAATCTGCCATGCTATCTTCAATGATTTGTGCATGCATCTCTCTGGGTACCCATGGTCTTGCACCCCTTTTCCTCATTTGTTCCTCATTCCTCATTCTTCCCATCAAAATATATCACTTTACACTTGTATGCGTAAACTTTCATAAACTGTATATCATCATTCCATCAAGCTATTATGCATATTTAATGAATTAAAATAATGATCTAAATCTTATCTATTTTTCTTATGTATACTTAAAGAAAGTTAACCATCAGGTTTTTTAAATAGATTGTTAATGATGAATAAATGTAACTTTTTCACATTAATATGCAGGTGATAGGTTATTAGGCTAAAAAGAGAAATTCATAATCTTGTGAAACTGGCCTATTTATATGGCAGTGTTTAATGCTCCATTAGCAGGAAGATATTTTGGCAATCTTAGAAGGTCATCTTGGTGTGGTAACGGCTGCAGAATTTTGCCCTTGGCAGTTGAACATACTTGTATCGATCTCTGAAGACAGGACTTTTAAGGTATGGAGGTTCCAGTTTTTACACTTCTTCAATATATAAAGTTGTTTTTCTTGTAGAAAAATTATGTCAATTTAGTATTTCCAGCCTTGATCCTCTCAATCAGAAAACATATTCAGTTTTCTCCCTAAACTTGTCCAACTCCCACTCATTTCTCATAGTATCACCTGCTTTATTAATGTGTATTTTCCAGGCTCCAAAGACAAGTTATTCACTTCACAGACTGATCTTTGCCTCTTTTATTGTTATTTCTATCTCTACATAACTAAATTCAAACCATAACTACAAAAAGTATCTTTGCCTGTGATAGCAATTAAAGTGCCTCTAATCATTTCTGGTTAAATTATGCTGCAATTTCCGTTTCAATAGCCACTTCTGGTAGAGCAATAAAAATTCGAAGTGCACTATGCTTGAGAAAACATCTATGTACAACTCCTTCGCACTGAATCGATGGGGGAGAAATTCAGCTCAACATGCATCTATTTATTGTCTGAAAAGTTGGGGACCAGGACTCTAAAATTGCTTGGTGAAAGGGCTGTGTTCTCCTCAGTTGCCCTGTTGATAGCCGAAGCTTGTCTAATGCTATATATAGGCAGACTTGTAAATGGGCAGGCTGCTTGTAGGACCCCAATGCAAAATAAAAAGTACATTGTGCCGAGCACTCCTAATTGTACTGAGGTCTTGAATGACCTAACCCCTGGTCTTTGAAGAGACCATTGCAGGCCAGTCAAGAAACTCCTTCTCAAAGCAGTTTTGGTAGAGAAAAACTGTTCCAATTGGCAACAAAAGTGGAGGAAATTATATTCTTTTCTGCACGGGAGTTGTGTGAGGTATAATGCACTGCCTGGAAAGGATGGTGAAAACAGGTTCAATTGTAACCTTCAGCAGGAATTGTGCATATATTTAATGTTGTCTAATTTCTCCTTAAAACAAGTTAGATAACTCCAACCAGAAAGTTATGAATGAATTTGCCCAGATTCCCACAATACCGAAGCAGTCAAATCACAATATATACAAGCCGGTGCCAATGTGAAACAGCCCTAACTTTATTAGGAAACAAGTTACAATAGCTTTATTTAGCCCCTTAAGCTTACTATAATTATTGAGTCTATTGTAGCTTTATGCAGTCACTGTCTCTCTGACTCTCTGTCTCTGGGACTGCGTAATTGCTTTCTCTCTTCCCCTGTCTCTGTTTCTCTGGATGGCTAGCAGAGGCCTTTTGCCATGCTGGCCTCTTTGGAAGGCCTCCAGATGATTCAAGAGTGTGGTCTGCAGGTGAACAATCTTTTTAGATTGTTTTCTGGAACTTTCTATAGTTCTGGCCAATCTGAGAGACTCACGTAATAGTTTGAAACCGTGTCAATTATTTGGATGGCCGCTACTGTTTGTTTCTTTGTGTAGCAGGACCTGGTGCCTTTCTGTCTCGGCCCTCCTTTGTTTGGTAAGATAAGTTGTTGGGGATATGTCTGTCCAGGATAACTGAGATAACAAGGTGTAGAGCTGGATGAACACAGCAGGCCAAGCAGCCTGCTCCTATGATGCTGCTTGGCCTGCTGTGTTCATCCAGCTCTACACCTTGTTATCTCAGATTTTCCAGCATCTGCAGTTCCTACTATCTCTGTCCAGGATAACTGTTGCCTTTTACGCTATGCTAAGGTCATTAGCGCCTGGGTGCTGTGTTTGCACAGTGTCTGATGTGTGGGTTTGTGACTGCAGCATTTTACTTGGCTAATGTACCCAGCATCTCTTGCTGTTCGGCCAAGTTAGCAGTCTATCTGTGTTTTAACAACCAGGAGGCTGCTACATTAAAAAGGAGGCATTTGCAAAGTTACAGAGAAGGAGCAAGGGAGGGCGATTAATTGGGTAACTCATTTCAGAAACCTGGTGCAGGCATGTTTGTGCTGTATCTGCTTATAATTCTATAAAACTTACCATATCATGAAACCAAAAGGAGCAAACAAGAGTAAAAGTACTGAGGATTGACAACAGCCTGAATTCCAGCCTCCCCTGTCTGCAGACTGATTCAATGCCAGAGCCACTCAAATTTGACAGGGCTGCAACCCAGCAAACTGCCTTGTGACAGCCCTTTAGCACCTTCAGTTCATTGTAGCTCCCTTCTAGTGAGAACTGAGGCTGAATTTGTCTTGGGTGTAGAGAAGTTGCACTGTTAGCATACATCTTGCTGGATGTAGAATCTCCCCTCTTATTACTATGTTTTCAAACACTGTGTTAACTTCAAAACTGCTATTGTATTAGATTCCCCCATTAATTTTCACAAAAGACTCCTTTTATTAGCCCTTCCAGATATCATTCCTGTTGAACCCTTCATTTGGTTCCAATATTCTTTGTATATTAGGGAATTCAGGAGTACGTACTATACTCCCAATTATCATTGTCATGTGCAGTTTCAACATTACCTCATGGTGTTCATCTCAGAAGCAGGGTTAACTGCAACCTATGAAGATCATAGATAGAGGAGCAGAAGTTGGCCATTTAGTAGTCTGCTCCGCCATTCAGTGAGATCATGGCTGATCTGATAATCGTCAACTCCACTTCCCTGCCATTTTCCCTTAACCCTTGATTCCCTTGCTGATTAAAAATCTGTCTATTTCAGTCTTGATCAGCCAATTTATCAAACCAACTCCATGATCAGATTCAGAATCAATTTAGTGAGCAATCCTGAAGCACCAGTTCAAATCTTGGCTTTTTTTGATATTGAGAGATAGTAAGAACTGCCAATGCTGGAGTCAGAGATAATACCGTGTGGAGCTGGAGGAACGCAGCAGGCCAGGCAGCATCAGAGGAGCAGGAAAGTTGATGTTTCAGGTCTGGACCCTTTTTCTGAAAAAATGTCAACTTTCCTGCTCCTCTGATGCTGCCTGGCCTGCAGTGTTCCTCCAACTCCACACTCTGTTATCTCTTTTTTTGATATTGCTTTGTTTACATCATGGATACTAGTGCAGCCAGAACAGCATAAACTCGTGCAAGTTTGCCACAGTTGAAGAATGTATATCAAAGTGTCATAATGTTGCCTAATTACTGGAAGAGTACTTTAAGTACAAAACACTTCATTGGCTTGGAACGTCACCATGAGTTGCTCAACCTCCCAAGCACCAGAAAAGGTGACTGTTTGCTGTTCATGCTGCTACTTGGAAAAGTTGTAATAGCTAAGTAGAATTAGTTTAGGGATTCACTCATCAGTTATAGCTGGTGCAGATCCACATTGTAAAACCACTTATAATTCAAGCATACTGCCAGTTTCACTCAATGTATGATAAAGAGCACTTATTTTACTGAAATTGAGTTTGAGGAAGAGCAACTCTGTCAATAGTGTTTAGAGGACTATTAAATGCATTCAGAGCAAGAAGATCAATTTTTCTGTCATAAACTCTGCAGAACTTAGATCTGTTGTTCATTATTGTAGAATTGCAAGATTGCAAAACTAAACTGCAGACAGTTGCCAGCAAAATACACTCCCCCCAACCCCCACCACCACCATCCTGCTGTCCAATCTAGCTTGGCACTGACTGAAATTATTGTGTCCTGAAAGTTAAGTGTTACTTTGGTTCTTGATTGGTACCTGAAGTGTGTCTAAAGCAGGGAGTTGGTCAGCTCAGTTGGCTGGATGGCTGGTCTGCAATGCAGAACGATGCTAATAGCGCGGGTTCAGTTCCCACTGTGGCTGAGGTACATGAAGGACTGTCCTTCTAAAACTCTCCCCTTGCCTGAGGTGTGGTAACCTCGAGGTTAAACCTCCATCAGCTGTCTTTCTAATGAGAGATCAGCTCCCTGGTCCAGCAGAATTATGCCAATTTTATCTATGCCTAAAACAGATGACAAGGATAGGAGGACAAAGTAGTTTGGTCCTTGGGCATCTCCCCTCTGATATACCATCTATTGCCTTGCAGGAATTACACCAGGTTTGGTGCATTACTGAATCATGAGTATTAGTGATACATTTAAAGCTTTTAAAAGTTGAATTCTAAGGCACATGTCCTTTAGAAAATGCCTACTAGATATAGAAATTTATATTTGGAAACATATTGCTGTGCAGTATAACAAACATTATTCTGAACCGATGGTATTTCTGTTTTTTATCTAAGGTTTGGGATCTCACTAGTAATGTATTACTGTATCAGTCAGCAGTTTTATCAGGTAAGTATGCATCAGTCTTATTAAATTTTTCATCAGCGAGGATAGCGTCATAGACCTTTACAGCATGGAAACAGACCCTTCAGTTCAACTTGTCTGTGCTGATCAGATTTCATAAATTAATCTATTTTCCAGCATTTGGCCCATATCCCTCTCAACCTTTCCTATTCATGTACCTATCCAGATGCTTTTTAAATGTTGTAATTGTACCAACCTCCACCACTCCCTCTGTCAAATAATTCCATACATACAGCACCCACTGCATGAAGAAGTTGCCCCTTAGGTACCTTTTAAATCTTTCCCCTCTCACCTTAAACCTATGCCCTCTAGCTTTGGACTCCTGGCTATTCACTCTACCCATGTCCCTCATGATTTTATAAACTTCTATAAGATCACCCCAGATGTGTGGATTATTTAACATGTAACCATTTCTAAGCTGTATGTTTGATAGTATTGCTCCTGATATAATCCTGAAGTATTTCATTTATGTCTAGGCTCTCCTCTGTTAAGCTTGTGCATGGACAGCAGAGTTAATCAGTTTATTACTGGCTCTGCTAATGGTCAGGTAGGAGGAGTGATTTTCAGATTTTTGTTTGGAGAAATGCTAATATAGTTTCTTCCCATGCCACATGTTCTTTGTATAAGCATAGTGCTGAATCAAATTTGGTTTCAATCTTCAATGTAACCTGCAATTTACTAACATTCTATTAATCAGCCTTTTTATGTATAGCCAACATCTACTTGCTTTGTTATATTTCAAATATTGCAACTCAGGGAATCACGCCTTATGCAAAGTATATATTGTTCTTGTGACTAAATCAGCTGAAGTTTCATTTTCATAAAATTGTATCATATCACAATGGAACAAATAGTGAGTATGAAAATTGGCATCATGGTATTGTTTAATCTTTGCTTTTTGTAAGTTATGCTAAAATAGTACTGCACTTCTTTCATTTATGCTCATCTCCATTCTCAAAAACAGCCAGCAAAGTAGATGGTGCATATAAATAAGCTGAAGTTAATATAAAATAAAACTCCTACATTTAAAAACAAGTATTTAAGCCAAACCAATAAGTCATGTTTATTTTCCAGAAATAAATCAAAAAGACTTGCTACTCTGTCTCCAAGAAAATCCCTTACAAAGTTACTTTGAAATTGCCCTACCATTTCCAAATATCAGCATGACTCCTTTCAACAGCATAACATTTTCATATATAGTAACAAGAACCCAAGAAGATTGGTAAAGATCGAATTTTTGATCTACAGGTTATATCGTGAAGTCCTTGGCTAAGGTCATTCATGAATCAAATGACTAATCATTTAGCAATTTAGTAGAAAAGAACATGATTCAGTACAACTTCTAGCTGGAAAGTGCTGTGTTGGGGGATTGCAGTTTTCAAAGCTGGCTTACAAATATGCTAAAATTTCCCTCCAGTGATGCAAATGAAGAGTAACATGCACGTATATGCTGCCTTTCATAATGTTATGACATCACTTAATGCTTTACAGCAAGATAATACCTGCAATGTTGAAATGTCCCAGGTACTTAGTAGTGACATTATATAACAAAATGTGATTTTGAGCTATGTTAGGTTTTATTAGCATAGATGTCAAAAGCTTGGTCAAACGCATAGGTTTCAAGAATGCCTTAAAGAAGGAAAGAGAAGTAACAGAGATTTAGGGAGGTAATTCCAGAGTTTAGGATTTCGGGGACCTGAAGGCCCAAGTTCCAATTGTGAAATAATAACGTGTGGGAGATACTCAAGAGGCTAAAATTGTAAGAATGAAGAGATTTTGGTGTTTGTTGACCTGGAGGAGATTATAGAATAAGGGAGGAGGCTGAGGCTATGCAGGAATTTGAAAACAAGACTGAGAATTTTAAAATTGACGCATTGCTTAAGTGGGAGCAATAAACACCAGTAAGCACAGGTATGATAGATGCAATGAGGATTTAACGTAAACAAAATACCTTTGAAGTGTTATCATTGTTGTAATACCGCTAGTGAAATTGAGTTAACTATATAGAATAGGAAGAGGAAAATCGAGTGGTTTTGCCTTAGAGCTTCTTAAAGCATGGTAATCTCAGTAATTTTTTGAGTTAGTGGCTGTTTGCAACTTATGAAACAGGTACTTATTAATGTAATAACTTCAGATACATACATTCATAATTTATGTTTTATTAATTAATTCTAATTTGCTTCTTACAGCTAGATGTTTTCACTTTGTTACATGAGCAACAATGCCGTCGTGTGCTGCACGTTGACCTAGCAAAAGAACAGCAGAAATACTGCTGCAAGATCCAGCGGAAAGTCAAGTTATCAGAGAATTCAGGTACTCAACAGGATTCATTAATTTGAACCTCACTCAGTCCAACCTTATTATTTTGTTTAATATTCTTATTTCAGGAAGAGGTAGTTAGCTCAATTAGCTGGATGACTAGAATGTGGTTCTGAAACATACCGATAATGTGGGGTTTGATTTCCCTTTCCAGATGAGACACACTTGGGACCTTCATCCTCACTCTGCGCATGATAAAATAGTGACATAAGCTGTAGTTAGGCAACTCTTGAATAATGCAAACCTGAACACAATGGATAACTTTATTTATCATCTTGAGCTAGGTGTGACTACTTTTGCAGCTGCTACAGGACAGTGAAAGTGTTGCCTCCATGACTGAGTAGGATGAGCTGCAGAATAGTTTGGATATAGTTGGGAATGGTTCAGTAGATGACAGATTAAATTCAGAAGTGAGGAAGGGTCAGTTGACCTAAAATGTTAACTCTGATTTCTCTCCACAGGTGCTGCCAGGCTTGCTGATCTTTTCCACTATTTCTGTTTTTGTTTCTGATTTACAGCATCCGCAGTTCTTTAGGTTTTATTTATATTTATGTAGATGTTGTTGTCCTTATATTTTCTTAAAAAATTCTGCCACTGATGTGTTGCTGGCCAGGCAAGCCCATCCATAACTGCCCTCGAAGTGAGTGGTTTGCTAGGGCATTTCAGAGGTTGTTAGCAGTCAACCACTGTTGCGGGTTTGAAAGCACAGACTAGGCAAACAGATCTTCCTTCCATTTGTGAATCAGATCTGTTTTTATGGCACTCAGTGATCATTTCACAAGACCAGCTTTCATTTTCAGATTTTTATTAACTGAATTTAAATTCTACCAATAGATCCCTATCCCTGGGTCTCTACTCCAGTGACATGCCACTGTGTCCCCTCTGATTAAGGTATATTCAGAGAATAGACATGTACATTTTACTGGGCAGAGTCTGTCTCTTTGAGATAGAGATAATATATTCATGACCAAAGCTAGAAATGTAGTAGGCTCTGCTGCTGAATAATCAGCTGAAAAAAAACACTTTTTTACATTTTGTACATTACATTATATACACAACCAATATTGTAGCATCATAATTCCTAGGTTTCATTTTAACTTCCATATTCACATTTTATTCCTTTTGTTATTTTTTTTATTTACAGATGTTGACAGTATTAACAGCCTGAGGAATTGCAAGAATCTTCACTATTCTTCATCCTACCTTAATGGTAATAATTTGGAAAGTGGACCACATGCATGTATTGAACTTCCAATCCTCAGAATGTCTCATTGTGAATATTTATTAAGTAGTTTACTGAAAAAAGATTCAAGGTATGTATTTTCACTCATTTTAAATTGTTAACGGATGCAACTTTAAATAAGAAAGTGTTGAATTTGTGTAAAAACTCAATTGACCCCAATATTACCCTGCCCCCACCCTAATACTGTTGGCATTGGCAAGTGAGCTGATAGCCTAAATTTGAAAAAGGCTGGAAAAGGAGGGCAGGCACTATCTTCAGACAGTTCCCTGTGAGCATTGGCGCAGCCCCCAGAAGTTAGTACCTCCTCTTCCATTTTCCCTGAATAGACTTTAAAACCCACCGCTCTAGAACCTTTTGCCCCACCATAACGGGGCCAAACCCTTTCACCTAAAACTCTTCTGTTTTGCCCAGGTTCAGTGTTCCGTTCAGCTTTCTTCTTGAAACTGGTTGCAGTCCTGGCAGTATTCAGTACCGAGCTTTGGTGCTCTTGGGACTCATGGAACTGTGACAGCAGATCCAGAGAGTGGAATATTGCCCGACTGAGGGGCAGCAGTCTAACATTGCCCACACAGGTCTCTTCAGATAACCACATTCATCTCCCTGTAAGATTCTATACATTGATTGATACAAAATATTCAGATCTAGTTGTACCAGCATTTGCAGCTCCATTTATACACAATTGCCAAACAATCGATGGATGTTCTATGTGACATTATTCTCTGTATATTTCCTTCTGGCTGTGATACATACCTAATCCAGATTACTAAGAGTGACAAAGGATGATATTAGTGAGACATTGTTCATCCACTCTGGGGTAGCAGGGTGCTTCACTGTTTATCACTGCTGTCTCACATCGCACAGGTCTCGGGTTTGATTCTACCCTCAGGCGACTTTCTGTGTGTAGTTTGCACATTCTCCCTGTTTCTGCATGGGTTTCCTCCAGGTGCTCCAGTTTCCTCCCACAGTCCAAAAATGTGCAGATTAGGGGCATTGGCCATGCTAAATTGCCCATAGTGTCCAGGGATGTGTAGGCGAGGTGGATTAGCTGTGGGAAATGCAGGATTACAAGGATAGGGTAGGGGAGTGGGTCTGGGTGGGATTCTTTTCGAACGGTCAGTATGGACTAGATAGACTGAATGGTCTGCTTCCACACTGTGGGGATTCTTTGATGCTAATTCCTCATAACAATAGCTGATTTAAACAGATTAATAGTATGCAAAGATGTCAACCTTGTGTCTAATTTTAGAAGGATTAACAAAGTAAACACAAACCGCTACAGTTTCATCATTCTTACTTCAGTGCAGTGTTAAATAAATGGATTGAATGTTCGGAATAAATTGGAGAATTATCAGAAGAGAGATCAGTTGGGGCATTGACATCCAAAAAGCCTGCAGCAAATAAAATTGCGCTCTCTTTTTAATTGGAACAGAAGTAACAATGAAAAGCTTGCAGAAAGCAAAAAAAAACCCTTCTAATTCAAGCCAAGACCTGAATCCATCTGACTGGCTACTGAATTGGGGATTGCTCCAGTCAGCAACAACATGACTTCAATGCCAAAAAACAAAACATGAACTTCGAGAAAAGTCACCTCATTGGCCCTTTTGTTCTGGATTTTAATCCACAGACTTCATGCCTTTTTTGCACAAATGTTTCAATATTTTCCAGCTATGATATTCCTAAAAAATCTGTCTATCGTTTGTGGGAATGAATGTGTGTGTGTGTATTTGGAGCACAAGGGGCATAATTTAAGTTTGTGTTAGTGATTGATAATCTGTTTTTGTCATATTAGAGAACAAGTTTCTTATAATAAATACAGTTTTGTACTTGGCCTTATCATAGATAGTGGTCGGAGTCAGGCAATAGCCACCCTAATGATTAAATTGGTTATATTTCAAGTTGTGACAATTCAAAAAAAAAATGAAGCTTGATTTTCAGTGCATTATTCCCACCAGGGTCATGACAGTGTTAATCGTGTGTGTCTTATCATCATTACCACCATTTTAGCATAGTGCCCATAAATGGGACTAATTAAATAGGTCTTTCAAGGGGTTTGTGCAGGCAAGCATAACTTCTTTCTGTACTGTAGCATGACACAATTATTTGATTTTGCTGATTGTTCTTATTTGGTCATTTTAACTTTTTACTTGTAACCCTTTGCTTTCTATTTCAGTTTTACACCAGAAAACTCCAGCAGTCTATGGGTAGGGACTATAAATGGCTTATTCAATGTTAATTTGGCCACTGGGGAAATTGATGCTGCTGTCCATTTTGAAGGTAATTTTTGTATTCTCTGTGTATCTTTTTATCATCTATTCCGTTCTTAGCTATTGTGATCCTATTTTAATTACTTAAGTGCTGAACCATTTCCAGTTTTACCAAAATAATTTGTCTTCTTTCATAACTTTTTTTTAGATACAAAATGCTCAGAAGTCTCAGTACATTAATAACATAAAATATTTTGTTTCAGATCATCTAGGTTTAAGCATTCGGACAGCTGGCTCTTATGCAATAGGAAGCAGAAACACTAACAAGGCAAGAGAAAATACTTAGAAATCTCTTTAATCGGAAATGAATAAAATATATTATTTTAATGCTGTATATGTTATATTTATCATGTTACAGAATTCATATTTTATCCCTATGGCAATAAATTATGTGTCAGTGCAGTAATGCTGTCCGTTGGAGACTTATCCCTCACCGTAATTGTTCTCTTGCATCCCAACTCATTGTCTTCAATCAATCTCCCATGGCTTGTCATATTCTACATGCCAATATGCACCTCTCACAGCCAGTCGCTAAGGCCCCTCCTATTGCCCATTCTACAGTGTGTCCCCAGCCATTTCATGTCATTCTTCGTGCTGTCCTTGGCAATTCAAGCCTTGTATTCCCATTCATTCAGTATGCATTATGTACAAAAGCAAAGAACCATATAATAACAATGACAAGTTTGGAATCGCTGAGGAAGAAAAACACCCGTTCACAAATCTTCCTTAAAAAACACTGTGTTTCAGACATAACACAGTGTGGAGCTGGAGGAACACAGCAGGCCAGG